CAAACCAAATTTCTACGCGATGTTGTGAATATTGCACCTGGAACGTGCCTTCCATTAAAATTTATTGAGCAACATACAGAGCTTGAATCAGGTGTAAATATCCAATATCACATTAAATCCATACGACTTGAAGATGCACGACAAGTAAATATTATCAATTATGATTGGAATCCAAAAATTTTAGAATATAGTCAATACAATCTTGCTGTTGGTAAAGGCCAAGAGATCTCCTATGACCTTTCTAAAATTGAAGCAGAACTCGTGCAAAATTTAGTTCTTAATAAGACCTATTTAGAGCGCATTGAGCCAGGTGGACTCTTGCTAGAACCGTTCTCTTATTGCATGGAAATGTTCCAAGGTTCAACAACTATATTATATGATATTAAACAAAAGATCAAACAAGAGCCAATACCACAAGATAAGATATTATTACTCACTAGTGGAGTTTCTCAAAATCAACATTCTGAATTTATCAGTAGTACTAGAAACGCTGAGATGATATTTTCAGATAATGAATCAGAACTTTTATCAGCATTAGAATTACTTTTATGTTTCATTAAGAGAACTACAGATATTGATGCTGATATGACTCTCAAGAGTTATATTCAGCAATGGGTAAAACTCTCTGTCCTCACAGAAAATAAAATATTAGAAAAAGTATTGAAAACTGATTTACAACTAAAACATGCTATTGCGCTTTATGAACTTGTTGAAGAAAAAGTAGCAGATATTATGATAGAAAGCATTGCTACGAAATACAAAGCCCAAATTACGAAGGAAATAGAAGATGATATAATGGTAGCTTGCACTTTTGGGCAAAAAGACGTCAAGCCTAATTCGAACCTTATTCCGGCAGACGTATTTATGCGAGCCTTAAAACGTTTCATGTATCGACAACTGCTGGTAGAAACCATACAGGAAAATCTCCCTCTTTCAGTTTACATGACAGAAACTACGACTATCTGTTGCTGGCCAGATAATATAGATGAGGATTTAATTTCAGATTTATTTCCTATGTCACTTTTGATAAAACATACATATGCAGCATATCATTTTATTAAAAACAAGATTGAGGTAAATTGTTACTTTATTTAAAAAAAGGTCTAGTCATTAAATACTAAATAATCCATATTCTTAGGTGGCGGCTACAGAGAAACAGAATATCATGAAACAGCCTAACTTATTAAAAGAAGAGCAAGATCAAAGATTTAAGAAATAAACTTTCATTACACCGGCAATCTCGTTTAATTTTTTTTTAAAAAATTCATTTAAATATTAATTAATGATCTTTTTATGACTTAATTAAAATAAAACATTGTATATGCTATAAGTATTTTAAAAGAAATATATTTAAAAATTTGAAAATTTAATTTATAAATTATAGTCAGCACACTTTATAATTAACCTCTATAATAGCCTAGCTATTTTTTATATCGAGTACTTTTTAGGGGAATTTACAAAT